CATGAACCTGCAGCTACAGGGCAGGAAGAATTTGTTATCTCAGGGTACAAGAGAACTTTCTGTTTCAGAAGGCATTGTAAGTGCTGGGATGATTAAGAGAGCATGTCCTTACTGTTCCAGTTAGGAGAGGCAACTGTCCTTGATTACAAGAAAGAAAAGGCCTTGACATGGGACCAAAGGCCCAGGCTGGCACATGTGTAGGCAGAGTGAGCATGATCTCCATGATTGTAAGAGCCTGCTTCTGACAATTAAAAATTGTTTTCTGGTCTATTTGAATTGTAGCCTCCCTGTAATAAAACTCAGATTCATTTTCCTTTTTCAATAAATAAATTTCTAAAATATGTTTAATATAGGTAAATGAATGGAGTCTGACTTTATCTTACTGAGCTGACAATCCTTGAATGTGTCTTGCAGTTGTCACTGGTCTCTCGAATCTAATAAAATATGATTTTTCAAATGATGATAAATTAATTCCAGTTTAAGCTCTGTGTGTACGTGTGTGTGTGTGTGTGTGTGTGTGTGTGTGTGTGTGTGTGTGTGTGCTAGACAGCATTTTGGTCTAAATATTGTTTCAGAGATAATTTTTTTTTTCTAAAACAAGATTTATTTTTAATTAGATATACAATGGAATAAAAAGAAAACCCAATGTTCACAATCACAGCCTCAAAGGGATAATACACATGGGATTCCTATGCAGTGCAGAAATGGTTCTTGCTACTTGAATACCCAGAAAGTTAAATCATATATTCATCATGAAAAAACTATGCTTTTTTAAATTTATTTTTATTTTTATTTTATATGTATGACTTTTGCCTGAATGTATGAAAGTGCACCCGTATCGTGCAATGCCTACAGAGGCCAGAAGAGGGAGGCAGACACCCTGGAACTGGAGTTTACAGTTGTTAGCCATCATGTTGAGTGCTGGGAATCAAACCCAGGTCCTCTGCAAGAGCAGCCAGTGTTCTTGACTACTAGAATCATCTCTCTAGCACTGCTTTTTAAAAAATTACCTTCCTTAATTCTCCTTTCTAAATATTGTGGTATACCCACACATGCATTTGTTCACAAATGTACATGTATATATTATACACTAGGCTGTGCAGATGAGTGAAAACACGTGATTTTTTTAAAAAAAAAAAAAACTTTCTATGATTGGGTGACCTCAATTAATATCATACATTTTAGGTCCTTCAATTTTCCTATGAATTTTGTGATTTCATTTTTCTTCAGAGCTGAATGATATTCCATGTTATAGATATACCAGATTTTCATTATCCATTCATCCATTGATGGACAACAAGGCTGGACCCACTTCCTTGTCATAATAAATAGAGCAGTGATAAAGACTGGGGTGCAAATATCTCTATAGTAGGTGTTCTCTGAATAAATGCAGTTATCACTGGTCTTTCAAGCCTGATAAAATATGGATTTTCAAATGGTAAATTAATTAAAGTTTAAACAATATATTTTGGTAGTACTTTGGTCCCAATATTGTTTCAGAGCTAATTTTTCTACACTTTGCAATTTATGTTACTGGTTTCATTAAAATAATTATAATGGCTTAAATAATTTTATGTGTCTAAGCAGCCATGGCGGAGGCTGACTATAAAATGCTGTGGTTCTATTGTTTGGTTGACTTATGCCCTGCTCTATAATTCAAAACCAAGAGCAAAATTACAAAAGCTGTTGAAAATGAGCTGCTGGTAACAAAATTTAGGAAAGCACATCAAGAAAGATAAATAATATCCATGGTATTTTCAAAGCAACTTTACATTTACTATATTATATAATCACCAAATACATTTCCCTCCTCACAAATACATCTGTTGTTGCATGTACAGGTTTTCACAAATACCACATATCAACTTTGTACTTGTGCAGACATTGTATGCTGCCTCTTTCCTCATTCTCCCCTGCCTACTTTTGCATAGTCCTCCTCACCCCCTGCCAGCTCTCTGGTCTCCTGGACACATTAACAAGCATCAGCAGTTCTCTGGTCTGAGAGTCACGATCAAGCTCAGACCTTTTCAACATTCTTTGAACCTCAATCACATAGACCCTTTCTTTGGGGAAAACAACAACAACTAGAGCTTTCTCAAACTGTCCCCCTTCCCCAATCTCAGAGTACAGAAAATCTCTAAGCCTCAAAGCAGAAAACACTTTCCAGGATCATACTCCCCACTTTCTAGTGACATAGTGACAAACCAAACGTAGTCAAAGAAAGGGGCACATGACGGAATCAAACAAAATGAACAGAAGACTGCTGAGTATTCTCAGTGCATGTAGGCTCTGTGGGCTTCCTGGGTTAGCTGTTTATCCATCCTACTTGCCAGATGGAAAGCGGGGTAATAACCCTCAACTCATGAGGTTGCTTCTAGGATTGGCTTAAAACATTAATATAACCATAGGAGATTTGCATTGTGATAGCTATTATTCTGTCAAAGTCAAGGAAATTTTATGAAACTGTCTGGATTTCGACAAAATTATTCTTACACATATTTAGTTAATCTGCAAGTGAGCATAGCATCATATATTAAGTAAGTAGGGACTTGATATGGTTTATGATGTGTTTGGGGGCAGTTGAACGATATTCCCTGTTAGAAAAGTGCTCTGGCTTCCCACCTTACTAAAAGTCCTGATTTATTGAAAGCAACTAGACATGCACGCAGAACACCTGGCATATAATTCCACTCATGGAGAAATCTTCTAACAGAAACCATTTCAAACCCTTTAAAAATTTGCAAGCCATGTATGTTCTACACAGGCCAATTTACAACAGGAAAATCAGAAAGAGTGCAAATGTTCCAAAGCAGGGAACTAATTAATGGTAGTGCACTCTCACTCTGTTATAACACCTGTCCATTTCAAAGCTGTGTAGCTAAAGAGTTTGTAATAGTGGAAAGTCGGGTCCAAAAACCAATACAAAGCTGAAGACACAAGATGACCCCAAATGCCACAGCTGTGCATAGAGCAGTAAGGGAACCAGGATAGCAGAGGTGGTTACTGGGGTGCGGAATTGAGGACACCTTACTTTTTATACACTTTCCTGCATCTCACATATTTATTTGATGGCAAAGTATTAAAAAATTAAATCTTTATATCTTTAAATTATTCTCCAACAGTTAATTTTTTTAAGATTGAGGGATATTCCCATACTTAGTGTTTCTTTACAGAAATTGTCAAGTACCACTCTATTCTGTACCAGTAAACACCTGGTGTACATTACTTCCAACTTCAGACTTGCATCTAGCAAGAAAGCTTCCTACCTATTCAATTCACAATCAATATTGACCCAAATACTATTAAATGGTACTAGGTTCCCAAGCCCAGTATATGCATGACTTCTAAAATATCACTCAATATACATACTATATCAGAAAACAAGCCAACTACTTTAATGCATTAACTTGTAATGGTGAATATTCATAGGATTTCATTTATACACACGTCTACTCAGAAAATCACTGGGGACACCACAGTTTATAGAATCTAGCAGTTGGAGAGAGCTTGGAGAGGAAAAACCTTCATGTAGTTGATGAAGAATCCAAGGACCTGTGAGGGGGGTGTCCCCACAATCAAGCCAGGCAAGAATAGGACCCAATAAATAGGGAGTTCTTGTCTTTTATGGTGTGTCTTATGACTGATGAAAAGTACATCCTGCTGGACAGAGTGTGTGCTACTCAGTTTCAGGACCAAAGTTGCCAAGCGTTTGTACTCAAAAAATGGGCTCCAGACTGTACTCTGCATAAGCATAAATCATAAATGGACAGAGGATGCACAGGAGCTGGGCAACAGCCCGCAAACACACCCTTTTCCCAGCAAGTAAAGATGTCCTTGCTAGGGTTGTGGCATTTCTACTTGTGCTCTGGACATTCTCTGCTCTTCCAGACCCTTCCAGATCTGAGCAGAGGAAGAAAGGGAGAACGAAAGAGTGAGAAGAGAGATGGATATGGAAACAGACAGAGATGTAGAGGAAACAGATTAGACTGAGATAAGAAATCCGGAGATAAAGAGGAGCTGAGGGAGAAAAGAGGGGGGACAGGCTCACAAGACTGATTTTCTCAGATACTGGGAATGCAGTCCAGTGGTACCTGAGCACAAGTCTGGGACTCTATCCAGCAGAGTGGTCCTGAGGAAAATGTGTACCCCATATTATACCCACCAAGCAGCCTGTACACTGTAACTATACTGACAGAAAGGGATGGGCAGTATGCTGCTGCTCTTTGAACTTCCAAAGTGTTCCCTTAAGAAAAAGCATTGGTAAAACAGGAAGCCAAATAGCACACAGTATCCAGCAGGACATGCTTCAAGTAGCAATCCTTTTGGTTAGCCAGGACAATTCTGGGGAGTGAGGAACATGGGAGAGAGGAGAAACACTAGTCCTAAGAGCATGCATCTGGAATACTGAGTATTACTATTTTGCTGAGAAAAGGTTAGCATTGGTACACAGACACCAAGGGCCAAAATGAAAGAAGTCAGTGGAAATGGCATTTCCAGAACCCGGGGGCGGGGGGCAAGTGTAGTTTATGATCTCTGTGGCTGGCTCAGGCCAGGACTGCTTTGAGTCCTTTTCCATAGCACATGCACAGCACCAGCCTGACTTGAAAGCAAAATCAATGGCACAGAGGAAGCAAGGAGGAACTTAGAATGGTGCAGCTGCCTTGCCTAACAACAGGGGATGTCCTTAGTGCACGTGAACTTCTGAGTTTCCTTCCAACCCCAGTAAGAGGAAACCGTTTTCCTGAAATTGACTTCTGCTTCCACTTCTGAAAGTATAATCTGCCTCTTCTCTTGTCTGCGACTCATCTCAGAGACCCCATGCCAGGAGGACCCTTGCTCAGAAAGCATGGTTCACGGCAAGGACCCTTTACTTATTTACAGCAAACTGAAGGGTGCACAGCCTCAGAGATGGCAAGCAAGGGCTGTTCTGATCTACCAGGATTCAGAATGGCGCCAGTGTCTCTAAAAACCACAACATGAAAGCACAGATGACAACTTACCCAAGGTGACTGGATAAGTTCATGGAAATACAAAAGAGAAGGAGGTTTTTGATCATGATAAAGCTAGAGAACATTCCATTGTCCATTCCCAGTATGAATAAGAGTTGAAGCAGATGAATTTGAAGGAAAAACTGTTCTTTTCTCCAACTTGATCTTGAGGCTGAAAGTACACAAAGGGAGAAGCATATGAACAGGGACGTTTCATCACCATGGTGAATCCTACCATCCTGCTGCCACAGAAGCACTATAAAGACAAAGCCTACCACAGCCCAGCAGACAGCACCAGGTGTTTCTACCACCTTCCCCAGAAAGTAAGACCAGGTGGGAAGAAAGTTACAATATGGCTCTATTGTCACTTTTACACAACATGCAGAATTGTTCTAATGGACGCTTTGCACCCCTTCAATATTGTTTTCCTTTTTAGCATCTTATAAAATGACCCAATTATTACAATAAAGGCTTCCAGTGATGTGACAACTGTCTATTGTATCTATCAAATCCACAAGTGAGATAAATTTACCTTTCAGAAATACTTGCCACGCGTTCAAAGCTAGCAAGCTGCGTCTTGCTCTGCAAGGTGCTGAAAGTGTGTGGACAGAGGAAAGGCACATGTCAAAAACACGTCTTCTATAGAACACAAGAGCAGATATGACTAAAGTGTCGGACTTTCTGGGTCGGCATCGTGCCCCAGGACTACAGATTTCATCATCCCTGCACCTGGGAAGGGTCTTAGTTCTGGCCTGGGCCCTGATTTATGCAACGCAAATCCAAGTAAGCATTGGGCCAGCAACTAACCTTAAAGAAGACACACACCTCACTCTGCGCATAACGCAAATAGGTGCTCATCGTTCATAAACAACAGAGTTCCAAAAGGAACATTCCCCTCCCCCCCGAGGAGGCCCCCCAAACTCCAGAACCGGGAAGCACACAACAGGTACATCCACCTCGGAGAAAGTCCTCCGAGATTCCTGTAAAGAGGAGACGACTGCCCTGCGGTGGTCGCCTGGGCACATCCTGGGGCTCCTGGCCGGACCGGGGCGAGTCTGGGCAGCTAGCACGCGGCGCCGCATGCGGGAAACCCGGGCGGTGCCTGCTGTCGTCCCTCAGCCCCGAGACCCCGATCCCCAATGCGAAGCTGCTCTGGATGCTCCCCAGACCGCGGTGCGGAATCCCCAGGGCTGGTGCACCGGGCAGGTGGGCGCGGAGGTGGCACTGCAGAGCCGCAGCCTCCGCCGCCCCGCACCTGGCGCGCAAAGGGCCAGCCACCCCGCCGCCCCGGAGCGCCGCCCCACAGCTCCAGCGCCGGGCCCTGCCAGCTGGCTCTGGGCCCTCGCAGACCTCCTGGCTCCGGCCCTGAGGCAGGCTGCGCGCTCCTCCGGCCAGTGCCTTCCTCCTCTGCTTCGTGCGCGGTGCAGTGTCGTCGCTGCCAGTGCCCGGGCCCCGAGCAGCCCGCGCGACAGGCGCGCGACACCGAGTGGGGCCCGCGCCCACCCTGAAAGTACCGCGGGCACGCCGCGCGCCCCTGCCCCGGGCTGAGCTCCTTCCAGGCTGCCGATCAACCGAGCTCTACCCCGGCGCCCGCGACGCCGCCCCGCAACCCCCGATCGGAGCCGGCTCTGGACCAGGAGCAGCTGCGCTCGGAGCCCCGTCCAGCCGCGCCGGGGGTCCCCTGCCTTCCCGGCGGCCTCGCCTCCGCAGTCACCAGGGAAAGTTTGCGCTGCGGGCTCCGGGGCGCCCTGGCTGCTGCCTGCGCCTCCCCGCCGTGCCCCCGAGGCTCCGAGGTAGCTGCAGCGGCGGCCGCCTTCCGCTCCTTACCCTGCACTGGCCGGAGCAGGCGAGCCGTCGGCGAGGGCGCATCCTGCTTCTCCGCCGCCCGCTCTCCCCGCCGGCGGGTAAAGCAGAGCGGCGGGCGTCACCGCCCCATGCTGCCAGCGCGAACTTCCCCAGGGTTCCGCGCCGAGGCACCCAACGCCCCGCGCTCCCGCCGCCGCCCTGCGGCTCTGCTCCGCGCCGCGCCCGAGGCCGCGCGCTGCCCCGCTGCAGATTCCCCAGCGCCCCCGGCGGACTCGCGCTCGCTCTCACCTCTCCCGAGCGCCACATGTCGTCTCAGGGTTTGAGGAACGTCCCTCTGCAGAGGCGCTCCGGTAGAGGCCGCCAGACTCTCACCAAAAGCACTCAGGCCCAGCTCAGCGGGGGAGGGGGCGGGGGGGCGCGCCTGGCCTGGTTTGGGATAGGCCATGTTTCTGTGGAAGTTTCTTCAGGGCCTATTTGATGCCCTTAGAGTAACCACTGGTCCGGATTTAGACCAGAGGTGGAAAGGGCATGTGGACTGGCAGCAGCCTCTGTTACTAAGGCGGCTGTGCCCAGTTCTTCCTGGGTCGTCAGTGGCACCCCTACGTGTGCCCATCCTTTATTCTTTTCACAAAGAGAGAAGACCCTTTTCATCTAATTCACACATGGTAATTAAGTCATTGCTGTGGAAGACAAAGTCTGTGTACACCGGAGATGCAAAAGAAACCCATACACAGCAGCAAGTCTTTTAGGGGTTGTCTGAAGACCCGTTTCTTGACGAGCTATTGTTATCATTAGAACAGGGACAGGATGATGGGGTCTACAGATCTAAAAGTGGGTCTCAGGAGGGGCGGGGCTCACAGGCTCTGCCTCCTTTGTGGGCTCGGGGGTTGGTTATTATAACTGGCGTCTGACCAGTGTTCTTACTGTAGTTTCTGAGAAGCAAGGACAGCAGCAATGGGCAATGGGCAGGAGACCCCTTCAGACACCACCAGCAAAACAGATGCTGACGTAACTCATTCCTTGATTGCAGTGCTTTGTTTCCACTGGAGGTGGGTAGGGGACTGGGGTTGTAGCTCAGCTGGTAGGGTGCTTGCCTAGTATGCAAGAAGCCTGAGTTCCATCCCCAGCACTGTGTAAACCAGGCATGGTGGTGCAAGCCTGTAACCATCGCACTCAGGAGGCAGGAAAATTAAGATTATTCTCCACTACGTAGAGAGATCTAGGGAAGCCTGGGTTACATAAAATCCTGTCTCAAAAAGGAAAAAGAATAGAAAAGATTTCAAGTGTAACCATAGAGAACATATGAGGTCTGTATATGCACTCCACAGTTTGTGGGGCATCGCCTTGTTCATAGCATCTTCTATGAGAGTGACTAGAGATTTCCTCTTTCCACTCTCCTGGAGAATTGTCTGTCACCCTTCAGTGAAGAAAACCCTCCCACTTCCCAGTTTTGTCAAACACAGAGCATTCCCAATCTGAGCTACCTGCTGGTACTTTTACACATTACAGAAATTCTAAATTTTCCCAGAATAAGAAATTGTAAAATCATTCTAGGAATAGGATATAAATATATAAAAGTAGGGGCTGGAGAGATGGCTCAGCAGTTAAGAGCACTGACTGCTCTTGCAGAGGACCCAGGGTTCGATTCCCAGCACCCACATGGCAGCTACAAACCGTCCTTAACTCCAGTTCCAGGAGAATCCGGAGCCCTCTTCTGACCTCCATGGCATTTCATGACACTGGTGCACTCACTTACATGCAGGCAGTACACTCATACACATAAAATAAAAATAATGAATAAAATATTTTTTAAAAAAGAAAAGAAAATATTACGTGTGTGTGTGTGTGTGTGTGTGTGTGTGTGTGTGTAAAGGAATGACCACCCTGACTGGGCATTCAGCCACAATATTTAATAATTCACATTCAAGGGGTTCTTCATGAAATATAAATAAGATCACCATTCAAAAGACTTCTCTAATTCTAAGATAAGTTGTCCACAGGCATTTCTCCATTTTCTGAGTTGTCTAAGGATGAAGGATGTGTTGTTGCTAAGATAAAGTTCTTTGAGAATTGCTATAGTGGAATCTTGAATGTCTTGTGAAGGCTGGGGTTCCACAGGCTTGGTCACCAGCCTTTGAAGCCAACAGAAGTTGAAACCTTTAGGAGGTGGTGTCTGGTGTTAAGCTATTGGACCATCAGAAGTTTGCCCTGGAAGGCAACCTAGGGAGCCAACCCCTCATCTTCCTCCTTTTTGCCTCCTGCCTGCCAGCAGCACATGGTGCCACTCACAGAGTACTGAATAACCACAGACTCATGGTGCCAAAACTTCCAGACTCAGCCCTATAAACCTTTCTTCTTTGTCCATTTACCTCAGACATTTTGGCTGGATGATGCAAAACTAACAAAAGAGTTAAAATCACAGGATTAAAAAGAGTCAATGAGATTTATAATTAGCTTGATATACTTTTCACCTACTATGTGTTAATTCTAGATTTCCAAATGCCAAAGACATCTGTTCTTCTTTTAGGACTAAAACAACATAATGCAAATAGGAAGACAAATAATTAGCAAAGGGAAAGCTGAACACAAAGTCGCTGAAGCTTTTGGCAAAAAAAAAGTACATAAGGGATGTTTTTGTAATAGGGACAATTATGGATATTAATTCTTCATGAATGAAATATCAACTATTTGGGAATGTGCTCTTTTGGCCGATTATCTTTTAAATTTCCATGTTTCAGTCCATCAGTTTCATAACAACACATTTTAACATCAAAATGAAAATGATAATAAATATGATCCATTTCTTGAAACTATGTAAACTAAGTATGCTAGCACACACCTATCATCCCAGCATCTGATTGCAGGAGAACTGGAAATTTGAGGTCAGCCTGGGATATATACCTCCAAAATCAGCCACCACCTATTTAAACATGTTTCCTAAATTCCTTTTCAGCTCCTCCTATTAAGTAGTACCACAGTCTTTCCTAACTGCATTTGTGTAACATACAGATGGACCTGACAGGATTATGAAATGACAAACCCAAACCTCATAGAAACTCCCGTTTCTAGGAGAGCATTTCCTGCCACTGCAACAACTTTTGGGCTGACTTTGAGTGCAGTGTTTGTCCAGATTAATAATGCTCTCTTGGCCACATTCCTGTGTGCTCATTAGCATTTCTCCTTTTATTGAATGAAATTAGATATTGAAGTTATAAGTCTAGAAAACAGTAGAGGGCACCCCAGTTCTGTGTAACCTCAGTGTTGGACGAGGCTGGATCATTTTGTTTCCACTGTGAAAGCCTAAAATAGCTGCCCTCAGAGAAGCTCTGCAATGGATGGATGGAACGTTTACCCAAAGAGGACTGACTATGTATCCCAGTAGATACAGGGCATCCAGTGCACGGAGTGCAGAGGCTAAGTGCTGGCTGTGTTTGTGTGGGTGGGTGCAATAGAGTCATCTAAAACGTGAAACAGTGTCATATGCTAGTGAGACTGTGGGATTTGTCTTTTGATGCCTGGCTCATTTCACTTAGCCTGTCTGCAAGCTTCATCCATGTTTCTGCAAACAGCAGGATTTTCTTCATTGTTAAAGCTACAAAATATTCCATCAAATTAGTGCATAATTTTTTTCCTTTTATCAACAGACATTGAAGTTACTTCCATATCTTGACGATTGTGAAAAAATGCTAAAATGGACATAGGAATGCAGATATCTTTTCAAAGCAGGGATTTTATTTCCTTTAGATACATTACCAGCAGAAGGAATGGGAGTGGAGATGTAGCTCAGTGATGAAGTAGTTGATTAGCAAACAGACGCTTTGGATTCAGTGCTAGAGGTGAGTGAGTGAGTGTGTGTGTGTGTGTGTGTGTGTGTGTGTGTGTGTGTGTGTTATGTATGACATCATGACACCAGGTAATACATTGTATTGTATATTTGGATTTTGCTAAGAGGGTAGAGAGTTTTCATTACATACAAGAAAAGAAGATGGTAACTGTAGAAGGTCATGCATATGTTGTGTGATTACTGCACTATGTAGACACCTATTAACATAAAGTGGAGCATCTTAAAGGGATACTCCTTTTCATTTTTGGTGATAATGCAATAAAGAGAAAAAAAAAAGCAATGTCTTCCCAAGAAGTGAAGCTTGATTAAGGTCAGCAGTTGACTGTAAGCCAGGGTTCACATGTAGAACCCTATGTGAATTGCATTTGTGAAAAATCAAGTGCAAGGTGAATATAGCAAAGGATGTGATGGGACAGGTGTGCAGAAGCTGGACAGAAGACAGATGTGGGAACAAGGAGCTGACTTCCACCTGCAAGCTTGAGGGTGTGTCTGCAGAACTTTAGATGTCATGAGAACAAGACTAAAAAAGACTTACATTGGCAATTACCTGCAGAGAAAGCATGCAGACGTAAATGGAGATGAACAGCAAATGCACATGGCATGGCACTGAGGTTCAGCCCGCAGCAGGGATCTGGCAAGTGAACTACTTCACTGATAGAATGAAATGTTCACTGATCACACGTCTGCACAGCAGACTTACCGTGCTTTGACCAGACAGAATGTCCTGGTTGTTAAGGAAACAGAAAGGGAAAATCTGACTTGGGAGAAACAGGGGAATTTGTATGGAAAGTGGCAGCTAGTTTAGCTCTTAAAGGAAAGGCAGAAAAGGCCAAAAGAAGAGAGGCAGCCGAGGCAGGAGGTGGAAGAGAGACGTTGTATAAACCCTGTTTGTGGAAAGCACACTCCACAGGTTTGCAGTTTATAATGCATTTCTCTTATTTTCATATTACTTAAATTAGAACTCTAAAATTACTCATTTTAAGACTACATACAGATGAGATATGCTTCAATTATCTGGTATTCCTTTAAAACCGAGATGGTACTTAAAACCTGGATTTTATATAAAAAGAATAGATGAATGAATATATTTAGATTTCTAGATATATTTTAAAATTTTCCTCTTACAAATTTGATGACACTGGGCACACAGCACCCCCTTCTTGCCAACATCTACCAATTTATCCTGAGAGTCGGTCTTCAGAGCAATGTAGCTGATGCTTCCTTTAAGCCTGTATGAACCCAAGCCTCATATGTATAAATTGGAAGTTAGAGTCAATGAAGATTTGTAAAAACATTTAATTTTTCCATTTTATCTCCATTATTGGCTTATTAGTTATGTTTATTTCTTTTTTTGAATGGTGGCTGTAAGATTTACAATAGACATCTTTAGATTC